GCACTGGCCAAGGGCAGTCCTCATGTTTCCTTCTCACACACACCCACTGCAATCCCCGTTCTGCACATGAGAAAACAGAGTGGACCGTGGGAATGCACCGTCCTAGGCTCAGAAGCAGCTAATACAGTTTAGACCTACAAGGTCCCCGAGAGCTGCAGGTGCTGAGGCAGGGCTTCTGGAAGGCGAGGACCAGGACCACCACTCATTCACAGACTGGCACAGCTGGATGACCTGGATGGAAGAGGCAGTCATGGGGACGTGGCCTGGGAGGACGCATCTCTCTCCCAGCCCCTCCCAGTGCTCTCTGCTTCCTGGCTGCCCCAAGGTGAGCATCTGGCCTTGGCCCAGGCCCTTCCTCCAATCTTCTTCTGCCTGGAGCCAGCTGACTTCCACCTCTAAACACAGGAGCCAAGTCAGTTCCTCCTCCTTAAACCTGTGAGTCAGGTCATTTTATCCCAGCAACAAGAAGTCAACTAAGACACCACATGTGCTGGTTAGCTCCAGAGCACGATGCCACACCACGGACACAGGCCCACATACACTCGAGGGCACACGCCCAGTGTACACCTGCCTGTGTCTACTGCAGGTAGGACTCTGCAGAACATCTTCATTTTCTTTCTGTCGCCAAGGATTCAGCTGTTCTACTGCGGCTACAATATCTCAGAACTGGGTTGAGATCTCCTTAGCAGAAGACTGCACATTTTCTGACACTCTCATCTGCATGTTAAGTGTCCTCTATGAGAAATTATCACTATGTACTGAGCTTCTCCATCTGCCCGGGGGCCTGGGCTGGTGATACTGCACTTAGGACACAAAGCTCAGCCCAGAACTCACTGAACCTGGTCATTACTGCAATCAGGTGAGGAGGGGAGGAGAGGAGACATGGGGAGGAGGAGGAGGGAAGGAGGAAGAGGAAGAGGAGGACAAGGAGCGGGGGAGGAGGAGAAGGAAGAGAAAGAAGAGAAGGACGAGAAGGAGGAGGAGGAAGAGACGGGCTCTGTCTGTGCCGATCAGAGAACATGCCAAGCTCTCGGATGCAAACCGGATCATTCCCTTACTCTGAAGAGCAAATATTTGGGGTGAAGACGACTTGAAAAACGCTGGCTTCCAGATTTCCAAATATACCAACTTGGGGTGAACTCAGCCAGGATGGAGAAGCTGAATCTGGGGAAGGTCGCAAGGTACAGGTAAGTAGACCATGAAGGACAGAGGCTAAGGTTTGGCTTAAACACTAAGTTTTAAATAGTATATTTTAGTAATAAATTAAAAAATTTCAAAAGCATGTTATGCATGACTCTTATACAGACTGCCGATCTTCCCATAAACACCAAGGACGGAGTTCAGGAAAAGGGGAAAGGGATTGGTCGGCTCGGCATTCCCCGAGGGAAGCACTGCAAGGTGCTCCCCTGCTCGTGACTACAGGGAGCCCCACATAGGGCACCCTTGCCTCTCACCCCACGCCCTGTTACTATGGCAGCTGTGAAGCGGCTGTGCTCTACCCACAACACCTTTCCTGGTTTCAAAAGAGACTTCTCCTGGGCAGTGTCTCCTAAGTCACACCTACCATTTTTGGCAACACTGCAGATGTTTTTCTTGTTGTCCACAGATTATTCAAAAGTGGAAAAACCAAACCTTGCATAGAAATGCACTGAACTATTTGATGAGATCTTTGAACAGAAGGAACCCAAAATGCCACAAGGCTTGAGACGGACCCGGCCCTGCAGGCCTAGCCAGGACTTACCCAGAGAAAGCAGGTTATTGCCAAATGCAGTGAGCAGCTCCTGTACCGTGTTCCGAATGAATGCGGCACCCGCCTGCCCTGCTGTGTTAATGACCCGAGGCCACAGAGTGGCAACACAGTGGAAAAAGGAAAGCGGGCTGCCCTCATCCTTTACTGGAGCCCTAGGAAAGAGGTCAGGGGCTCAGAGACTCAGGGGCTGGGGATAAATGCGTTGGAGAGGACCAGGAACACAGGAAAGGAAGACAGGACTCTGTCCCTGCTGCCGGCGTGGTCTCCTACAGCCTGGCTTCCTGCCCATCTTGTCCAAGAGTCAGAATTCCCAGGGATGAGTGCAGATTGCCCAGACCAAGCTGTGCATGCATACCAAGATGCACAAGACACACAATCTCCTGCCTTTACCCCCACGTCAGAGCGCACACTGCCAGGGCTGCCTGAAAAGACCACTGGTGATGGATCATCCAAAAATGGCCAAGGTCCCCCACGGAGGGAATCAAGTCTGTTCAGTGACCTCCCCTTGGCCAGCACCAGACCCAACCTGTCTGCTGCTGTTTGGTGAAGGTCACAGCAGAACTCAGACCTGGGGGAGTGGTGATTTCCCCTCTTCCCTCCTCTCCTCTTCCTTCCTCATTCCTGGGTGCAAAGAATGGCTGAAATCAAACTCAGCCCTTAAGAGTGCACATTGCTTCCCAGGATGGGGCAGTTCACAGTGGCACCTACCAACCCAGCCGGCTGTCCCCTCTGATGTGAGTCACCTCGTGCTTGTTGTGAGAAGAGGACCCAGGAACGCGCATCTGTGTTACTCACTTACTTAGTTACAATATTTGAGGCTACTCCATTAAACTTGCTTAGAACATCCTGTTGCTTTCTCCTCTGCAAGTGTCTGTTTCAGGCAGATAATGTGACACACAGAAGGTAAAAAGTTTCCTGTTGAAGGGACTAGAAATTTAACTGATTTATAGCTTGAAGTTAGTTAGTTTTTTGTTTTTTTTTTTTTTCTCTCCCTTCTCCCCTGGAAGGAGCCAAACAGCTCACAGCGTTTCATAGTGAACACATCACTAAGCGGCCAAGGCAATTAAGCTATTGAAAGAGACACTGCTGGTCGTGCTGGGGAGGAGCAGGTCCAACTGAAGCCAGCTTTCTCACAACCAGAACGCTAAGCAGGAAGTACAAGCATCCGTGCTGTAACTTTCAGCAGCCTGAGAGATGAAGTCTTTACATCCTGGGCATAATTGTTCTCGGTCTAAGGAAATGGCCAGAACAGGGCTGTCATCACCAGGGGCATCCCTGTTTTTGTAGTTAATAAATTTATGTCTCGGCCGGGTGTGGTGGCACATGCCTGTAATCCCAGCACTCAGGAGGCTGAGGCAGGAGGATTGTTGTGAGTTCGAGACCAGCCTGGGCTACATAGTGAGTTCCAGGTCAGCCTCAACTATATAGTGAGACCCTGTCTCAAAAAATAATAATAATAATAAAATAAATAAATAAATAAATTTATCTCTCGCTGTATCTCTGAGACACCAGGCAGGGAGGATATTAAGAAAGTAGCCATTGCTGAATCCAGTTGAATTAATATCCAGAGCCCCCAGGTGACAGTGGGAAACAGACCCAGATGAAACCAAAGAGCCCACTCAGACAAGGTGAAATATCAGGATGTAGCAGCTCCCAGCCAGGGCCTTCCACATAACACACTGGCTCCCAAATTACCAACACATGAGCATACAGGCAGGGACAGCAAGGCAAGTGAGGAGCCCTGTGTACTTTCGTTTTTAGTCCTCCAGCTTTCTGGGGGTCAAGTCCTGTGTTCATGCTGTGCAGGTAGCATGGTTCCTACCGCCCGGCTCTGATCGCTCCACGTTGCCTGGGTGGTTTCGTGGTTTGAACCCGATCTGTGCCCTGGGAAGACCAGACAGAGGTGTAGAAGTTTGCTGCTGTTTTGCTGCTGGCAGCCACCCCGCCTTTTCCTGATTCCACACCCCAAATCTGCCCTGGGGAGTGAGCCTTGGTCTGGCGAGGTGCCAAGCGGGGTGCTCCATCTCTTCTGCCCTAGGGGGGCCCCAGTTGGTGCCCTGGGGACCCGGCCAAGGTTCTGGCAGTCACCATTCCCTGGCCCACTGCTGCAGTCTTTCTTGTCCATTGCAGCCTAGTTTTTCAGTCCACTTTTCTATTTCATTAGATGCTCTATCACCCTGTAATAAAATACATCCCTCTTGATTGGTTAAATAAATTTCTGATACTGGCAACCAAAAAGCATTGGATGAACCCCAAAAGATGAGCCCCCCATCTTCCAGAAACAACATAGGCAGTCCATGGGTGACAGCAACAAGACACGCCCCCAGCCCAAGGGTGGCTGCTGTCTCATCCCTCAGCGGGAAGAGGACCCCAGGGCCGGGAGACTCCCACTGCAGCCGAGGAAGTCGGCCGGAAGTAGATTACTCACCATGGCAAGTGCGAGCCTCCAAAACAGGGCAGCCTCAGCCTGAATGGGGTTTGGGAAAACTAATATTTACCCAGAACTGAGCAGGAAAGCAGTGGCTTCCACTCAACGTTTTCCCTGCACATGCCTGTTCATGATCATGGATGAGCGGGTAGAGAAAGTGCAGCAAAGCTGCCTGTGGGCTACTGGCCAGCGTACAAATAACGAAACTAGGTCACCTGCAGGAAAGTGGGAGGAACTGGAGAGCGATGTCAGGTGAAATAAATCAGGCTCAGGAAGACGAGCACTGAATGTTTTCCCTCAGGTGTGGGATGAAAAACAAAAGGTGAGGGAAAGTAGAAGCAATTGTTGTCAGGGACGTGGGAAGTGGGGATGGAGGGCAGGCGACAGGGAGGTGGACGTGACCCAAACGCATCCTGTGGACGCATTAAAGTGCTGCCACGGGGCCCAGCACTTTCTCAAATTAATATGCACTAATAAAAAACAAAAGCATCAGGAAACGTAGTTCTGGAGGGGTGGGAGAGCCCTCAGCCCAGCCCTCTGCCCCATTGCTCTGTCTCCCCTCTTCCTGGAAGGAGGCTGAGCCACTGGGCTCGGGCCCAATTTAAATCCCAGATGATTTATTTCTAGATAGATCCTTAACTATGAGCCAAGATTCAATTTCAGGTAAGAGCACATTATGAGGTTCCAGGAGGACATGACTTTTGGGGGTACAGCATTCACCCACCTCACATGGACGGTATTGAAGGGAGGTAGGAGAAAAGTTCTCTGCAAGGCTGAAGCAGGAGGATCGCACATTTGAGCCCTGCCTCGACAATACAGCGATTTACGGGGCTTTGTCTCAAACTAAAAAAATACAGGACAGGGCGTGTGAAGGCTCTGGGTTTGATCCCCAGTACGGCAAAAAAGAAATTTTTCTGCCAAAGCAAAAATCTAGCACCCGAATCTTTGTCAACACAAGGAATTCGATGATAACTATTTTCCTAGTGCATGGACAGTAAGGATGTAGGTGAGGGTGAGTGTGTGTGTGTCTGAATTGTTACAAGTGTGTGCAGGGAGAGTGTTCAGAAGCAGAGGGGGTCTTGCACGGTGCCACCTGCTCTCAGTTACTCCCTCAGGGCAGCAGGGCCATCCGAGAACTCCCCACCCCACAGCACCCCCAGAATCTCCTTCCCCAGCCAGGCTGTGTTTGCCGGCAGCCCCCAAACATGCCGCTCGCTGTGGCTGGACATGCACGGCCATGGGCCGGGCAGTCTCCCCACGTCCCCACAGAGCAGCAGAAGCCAGAGCCTGTGCGCCACACTCTGGATGCTGCAGCCGCGGCCACCCCAATCCGTGGGTGTCCTCTCAGACACCACCCCACCAGACAGCCAACGGCATTGGCAAGGGGCAGTGAGCCATGCTGGGGGAGCTGGAGCCCGAGGTCAGCCGCGTTGCAGGACTGGGCTGGGTGAGCGCCCCTGGCCACCGCTGTCATGGGTACTGCAGAGGCTGTGACCAGAAGTCCGGGCCACCCAAGACACCAGGGAAGAGGGACCTCTCCGGGGCTTACCTTGCTCTCCTCCACTCAGACTGCAGCTTCCCTCTGACCCTTTCGCTGATACTCTGTAGCCACGAGTACGGGAGCTTTGGTGAGTTCTGGGAATTCTGGTGCATCAAGGGTTCTAAAGGCAGTCCTGAGAGTGAAGACACTGTGGTTAAAGGTGAAGAGGAAAGTAGAGATGAAGGTACTCAAGAAAGAATCAAGATATTCTGGGTAACGCGAGGACCACGGCATTCTGGGTAAAGCAAAACCCAAGGTATTCTGGGTAAGGCAAAGACCAAGGTATTCTGGGTAAAGCAAAGACCATTGTATTCTGGGTTAGTCGAGGACCAAGGTATTCTGGATAAGGTGAAGACAAAGGTATTTTGAATCCCCATGTTGGAAAACAGAATTGGAAATGTCATTTTCACATGAATAACCAGTGCACGGAAGGAAAAAAGATCTGAAACCTATGAAAAATTCTCCACCTGATTCTGTAATATCATCCCAAGCATAAATGAAAAATAGGCTGAAATACCATTTTTTAACCTAGCAGATTGGCACCCGTCCCAGTTCAAGGAAACACTGTGTTGACAAAGCTGTGGGAAGCAAGGACTCACACAAGGCTGTGAAAACATAAACCGCTACCAGCTCCATCTGGGTGCACTCGGCTTCACTGCCAGCGTGAGGAATGATGCACCTTTGACCTGGCCCTCCCCGGGCTGCACACGCGCCCTCCCCACAGGCGTACAGGAGTGTCTAGTGTAGCCGCTGTGTGACAGCAGCTATGGAGACTGCCCATCATACTGTGTTCATCAGTAGGAGACTGCTTGAAGTCTACCCTGTCCCGTCTGCCGGAACATAGAGTACAAGGCTGGGCATAGGGAAAAGGTGAATGTAAGGTGGTACCAATAGAAGCTGGGAGCCTGCGATCCCAGCACTGGGGAGGCTGAGGCAGGAGGATTGCTATGAGTTTGTGGCCAGCCTGGGCTGCAGAGTGAGCTCAGGTCTAGGCTGAATTACACAGAAAGACCATGTGTGAAAAACAAAACAAAAAAGGAAAACTGTACTGATATAGAAAGAGACACATTTCAATGGGAAGAAAAACCAAGTTACAAGACCACACACTTAGCAAGCAACTATTTGTATAGAAAGTGGGGAAAATAAGAACGTACATTGAGCTTACTCCTGTTTGCATAAAGCTACACTAAAGTAGCACACCCTGTGACCGCAGCCCTGCGAGAGGCCTTGGGCCGGGGTAACTCGTCCTGCTACTCCGGGCTCCCGCCTGCAGAATCTGGGAGAATAAATACTTGCAGCTGTCATGTGTGGGGATGTTTGTTGTGCAGCTGTAGATGGTTGATCCATCCACTTTAGCAAATTTCCCCGGAACTCAGCCTCCTGAGACAATGAACTCACTCATTGCTCACAGTTCCTACAGGCTGGGAGTTGGTGCTGGCTTTGCTGCTGGCCCAGCCCATGGGCACCGCAAGCTCACAGGTGAGAGGTTGGCCAGGGCGAGGTCACCTGATGGCCAGCTGGGGCTGAAGGTGTGGCAGGGGGGCCTCACATGACTTCCTCCTGGGGCCTGGGGTGGTCCTTATAGCATGAGATCTGCCTTCTGCCGGTGCCTGTGACCCCCGAGCAAGCACACAGTGAACTTGGGTGTCACTCGCTGACATTTCCGTGGCCAGGCCTATTCAGCACGGCAGGGAATGGCTAAAGGTGTGACTGCCAGCCTCGGTGCTCTTGGAGACTGTGACATTTGTAACAAACCTGGAGTGTCCAGCCCATAACTGGTCAGAGCGGGGAGCTGGGGATGAGGACAGGCATGGGAAAGGGGCACACAGCATTGGGCACTCCAGACGCCGTCGGCTGCCCTTGCTGTCAGGTGTATGTGCTTCCTCTCGATGCTTTCTCTACGAATTAATGCAGAAGCCATATAATGGGAGGGACTACCACGAATGGCAGCAGGCAGCCTACTGTGTGTCAGTTGGCTTCCTGACACTGAAACAAAGCCCCTGTGACAAATAGCCCAGAGGAGAGGCTTACGCTGACTCAGGCCTTCGGAAGGTTCAGTCCATGGTCGGGTGGTTCCACTGCTTCTCCAGCCAGCAGGGGCGGGGCACAGACGTCAGGGCAGAGAGTGTGGCGAAGGAAGGCTGCTCACCTCAGGGCAGAGAGGAAGGATGCGGGTCCGGCACAGTCTCCAAGCGCACACCCCCAGCGCCCACTCCCTCCAACTAGTTCCTGTCACCACTCAGTAAAGCCACCAAGTTATGAAGCTATGTGGACGAGTCTTTGGGGACATTTCATTCCAAACCATGGCGAAGCCTGTGCACAGCTTTGTGTAAGAGACTGAATCACAGAGATCCATCCACACCAGCACACACCGAGCCACCTGTGCTGTTTCAGGAGCTGCCTGGGCTGCACAGGATGTATGCGGACTGTTCATGGGTATCCCCTACTGGTGTGCTTTTAATTAGTTCCAGTTTGGACTACTAAACACGGTGATAGTTCAGCTCAAGGGTTACATGTTGTGTGAGTTCACATCAGCCTCAGAACATAGGCAAGTGAGTCTGTGTCCTCGTGAGACAGGAAGTGTCCGGTCCTGGTGAGTGGAGTTTCCGGAGTCTGTTCATGCTCTACCTTCAAACAAGGTGGGGGTGAAAGGGAACCTGGCTGTTTGGTGGTTTTTTTGTTTTTTTTTTTTTTTACTATTTTTATTCCCTGGTTACACGTGCCTGCGTGGTTTTGCACGGGAGTATGCAGAGTGCTGACCCGACCCTGGGCCATAGTTCATGGTGTTCTCCATTGTCATGGTTTCCGTCACCCTCCCCTGCAGCCGCTACCCTTCTGGGATTTCACGGCAGGCTGCAGAGGACCTCCCTGGAGAACTGCAGATGTACATTTCAGAAGTCCCCAATTTCCCAAAGCTGGGCCCAAACTGCTGTGCTTTCTTTTGATAGGTGCAGAATCACAGCACAGGGGCAGAGTAGGAAATAAAGAAGGGGCAGGATCAGGACTGGAGTTGGCCTGAGGGCCAGGGGACCCAGGAAGTCCCATGTGGGACAAGGACCAGGGTGACCACGCAGGCGCTCAGAACCAGCACTTCCGGTCCGGGGCTCACCAGGCTGCTGTCCCTCACTGTTCCGATCCACAGACCACCCCGAGGCAGAGCTGCCTGGCCGATGCCCAGCTCCACAGCCCACTGACACCCCAGAACAGGGCTCAACACTCTGCATGCTCCGCCTGAGGGAGCGCACTCAGAATTACAGGCAGCTGGGTTTGTTGAAAGAAGCCAAAAAATTGAGACTTCTTTATAAAAGATCTGGATTTAAAATACTGCCTCAGCCTGGTTTGTGTGACTCGGTGGCTCCTTTTGTGACCTCTGCCTTAGGGTCAGGCGAGATTGCTCCAAAGCAGTAACCCTGGGCTCATGGCACCTCTGGTTCTTATGGGTCCGGCCTGCCATGAGGATGTCACCCGGATGCTTCGCTTTGTCAAAACCCAGATCTTCCTGCTGAAAATGACAGTGTTTTGCTTGCTCTTTTGGCTTGTTGTGTGTTGTTAGCTATTGCATAATGCAGTTGATTTTTGTTTTGATTTCATCTGGTTTTATGAGACAGAGGCTCAATATGCAGTTCAGACTGGCATCAAGCTCATGGTGATCCTCCTGCCTCAGCCTCCCAAGTCCTGGGACTGCAGGCCTGGAGTTGATCATCTGGAAGTTGAGGTGGTGGTGTATGACAGAATCACCTGGCTGATGGTGGCTGCACTCCCTGGGGGGCCTTGGGCCACCTGCCCAGCCTGGTTCAGCCTCAGCTAGAGGCGTCCCTGGCCCTAGATCCTTGTCCTCCCTCTGGCCAGCCTGGCCTCATCCTGCAGTGGACAGAGGTATGTATATGAGGATTGCAGAGGTGGCAGGCACTGGTTCCAGGTGTCTGCTCCCCAAGGCGAGTCCAGGGCCTGGGTGGGGACACAGGGGTCTAGCAGGGGTGCAGGGCAGGGAGAGACAGCTGTGCAGACTGCTGAGGCCTTGGGCTGTAGCCACTCCCGGCGCTTTGTGGTTGCTGTAATGGAAGTAGAGTGGGGAATGAACAATTGGGCTTTCGGAGGGACTATTAAGTGGAAATATCCCCCACCCCACCTGCACTGGACATATTCAGACCATTCAGGGCCAGCGTTAATCTCTGCTCTGCCAAAGAAGCTGCACCTGTAAGTCTAGCAGCATGCAGACTTCACTCCGAGAACTCACACTGCACAGGCTTCCCGAGGGCAGCTCTGCCAACCACAGGCCATGGCCCTGAGAGAGGCTTCCTGCCTTGCTTCTAGAACTTGACTTGTGTCACTAGAACCTGTCAGCTTTGGAGAACAAGACCAGGAAGGAGGGAGGAACAGCCCAAATGATTCCCAGCATCCTTCACAAACTCCTGCTTCACCCAGAACCTACTTAGAGCAAGGTGTCACCGAAACATGTGCCGTGGGGTTTAGTGACATCACTGGCACAGAGCGGCTGGTCTGTGAGGCTGTCCCATGAGCAGCCGGACTGGGATGCATTCATAGTGTGGCTGGGAGGAGGGGCCTGCAGGAGGTGGAAGGCTAACAGCTGGTCCGTGCTTCTGCCCCTTGGGCAGGGAGGTCAGTAAGGCTGCACCCCAGTGCCTGGAGGCCATGCATGTGCAGCTAAGAGGAGGCAGCAGGGAGGGACCTGGCTGTCCAGGTAACCGGCATTTTCATAACAGAGAGGTGGAGTGCCAGGGAGGGATGGAGGATGCTGGACTCCTGACTTTGCAGGCAGAAGAAGAGGATGTGAGAGGAATGGGCAGCCTCCAGCACTGAAAGAGGCAAAGAGTTAGATTCTCCCCTAGAGTCACTCGCAGGGCCACAGCCCTGCTGTCCCTTCAACCTGAGGACTTTGGGGCCCCCAGAACTGCCTGATGCTAAAAGCGAGTTGTACTCAACCACTACATTACCAGGAGTTTGTCACAGAGACAGGAGGAAGCAAACACAGCTGAAAATGAGGAGCAGCCCTGAGAAGCCCTCATCTCACCCTCACCCTCTCCGGTCCTACAGAGAAAGAGAGGGGCGTGTCCACAATCGTCGTCACCAGAGCCTCCATGCTCCTGTGTGGGTGCCCAGTCTTAGGCTCCA